CTCGCTAGCTCTCTCCATCTCTTTGTCTTCTTCCCTCTCTCTACTTCCCTCTCTCTCTCTCTCTCTCTCTCTCTCTCTCTCTCTCTCTCTCTCTCTCTCTCTTCTCTCTCTCTCTCTGTTTGTCCCTCTCTCGCTCTCTCTCTCTTGTTCCCACTCCCCCACCCCTCTCTCTCTCTGTCTGTCTGTCTCTCTCTCTTTCTCTCTCTCTCTCTTTCTCTCTCTCTCTCTCTTTCTCTCTCTCTTTTTCTCTCTCTCTCTCTCTCTCTCTCTCTCTCTCTCTCTCTCTCTCTCTCTCTCTCTCTCTCTCTCTCTGTATATTATAATTTAACTCGCTTGGTCACTTGCGTTCAGTCACGGCTTCCATCGCCTTTCTTAGGTTGATTGCACACAACCCCTCGTTTGTGCTCAGAAATAGGAAAAATAATAAAATCGGAAGCGGAAGTTTTCCTTGACTTCCGCCGTGCCGTGTCTCTCATTCGATAGCGAAACCAGATACAGTTGCGAACGTGTCTGTGCCTTGTTGATCTGGATTTAGAACCTAAGGTAATGATCAGAATGCTGTGGTAGTTTTCTTTGTAGCTAAAAGCTGGGCAGTGTAGGCTTGTGTAGATCTAGATGTTGTATCGTGTAGAACCAAACACAGACTCTAGATCTAGGCCTAGGCTTGCCTCTACTTCTTAGCTCTTAGTCCCTAATACTCCGACCTAACTTATTATAACTAACTAATGACCACTGGCACTGCATGCAGTGTTCAGGGGTAGTACTGGCCTTTGTAGAGCTAAATCTAGGGTTGTTTAGTGTTCGATGGGAATAGCACACGGTGAGCCTAACCCTAATTTACTAATACTAGAAGATCTAGAATCTAGATCTAGATTCTAATGCTAATAATAAAACTAAAAAGCTTCCTATTGCTAGAATCTTGTACCAAGTATTGGCATTCACTAATTAATGACTAGATCAAGATCTAATGGCAATGCTAGATCCTTCTGAGCTGGGCACTTTGTAGAGCTAGATTAAGATCTAGATCTAGATCTAGATTTTCTAGATCTAGGGTTGTTTAGAAAAGATTGGAAATATCACTCGGTGAGCCAAACGCTTAGTCAACCAAGTGAGTTTCCTATTATTATATTATTACTAACTAATGGCAATGCTTAATGCTAGGACTTGGCTTTGTACAGCTAGATCTAGGGTTGTTTAGTGGTTGATTGGAAATGTCACACGGTGAGCCGAACGGTTTTAACTAATTAAAATTTGGGGGCTCGGGTGGCTAAGTGAGTAGGCAGATCTAGATCTAGATCTAGTGAGTTTAGACTCAACAGTAATGTTAAGCAAATGTCGGTGTTTGACACCGTTAACCAAACTGCCCCTCTGGGATCCATAAAATTGCAATTTATAAATTTATCTCTTTAATGGTTCACTTTGAAGTCTGTATTCCATGAGTAAGAAACGCGAGTGATTCTTGAATTAAAAAGTGGAGGCCTCGAACCGTCATTTCAGTTTGGGAAATTTTCTGCAGCTCGTCCGACACAAAAGCATAGGCCTAGATTATTTGGCGAATAACTTTAGATCCCATTTACTTTTAGCCTCGGTTCTCTAAACGGCATTCTTCACGAGGAGTGGTCCCGGCTTAACTCCTAAGAAATAACACTCAGAGTTTGAAGTCGGAAACAAAAATGGAGGTCGAGAAAAAAGCTGTCTTCAGTACTTTTTGGGGGGGGGTTCGATTTTCGAATATTTTCTACCTTATTTTTTTTTCTTCATCGGGTGGCATTTTCAACCTGGCAACTCAAACCAGCTTTTTTAATCGGCTTCCGTTTGTGTTTCCGATTGCAAGTGTTATTTCTATGGTATTAGGCCGGGACCACTAATTCTCCCGAAGAGTGCCCTCTAAACGCGTGACAACCCCGTTTTGTCTTTTCGAGCAATACTTTTTCCAACGTTACAGATTGGTGTGGAAGGGCACTTTTCTTGGGAGGCCGGATTAAATATTGCTCGATATGAGTCAGGCGGAACTATTTTCTTACGGATATTGATGTAAATGGGACAAACTGATACAAGACCGGGAACGGTAGCTCGATAACAATCTGTCCCATCTGTCCCAAGTCATCCGTTAAAAAAGCGTGTCTTTTCATTGGACGAGCTACAGCACGGGCCAAAATAGTTTTTGGTGCGGACGGACATCCCCGGACGGAACCTCAATATTTAAACCGACTGCGTCACTGTCGTTCTGTAGGTATTAATTTTAAATAACGTTTCCAAGCCCTCTGACCTCTTAACCGTAACAATTTTGGTCACGTCCGTTTTTCCCCTTCTCTTTCCCCAGATCTCGGAATCTTCGCGGACGCAGTATCATGTCTGGAGAGGAACAGCCCCAGCCGTTTGCCAGCGACGAGGAGATGGTGAGTTGTCACGCATCCACAAACTCACACACACAAACACACACACACACACACACACACACACACACACACACACACACACACACACACACACACACCCCACACACACAATCACATACCCACCCCCCACCCCACACACACAATCACATACCCACCCCCCACACACACACATTCACACACACACACACACACACACCCACACCCAGACACCCTCCCACCCCCACTCCCCACACACACACAATCACATACCCAACCCCCACACACACACAATCACATACCCACCCCCCACACACACACAATCACATACCCACCCCCCACACACACACAATCACATACCGACACACACACACCCACACACACACACACACACGCACACACACACACACACACACACACACACACACACACACACACACACACACCAACCCAGACACACCAACCCAGACACACAACCACACCCACACACCCACACAAACACTAAACATTAAAACAACTTTTTAGAAATATGATGATATAACATTTCCTGGTGAGAATTTTGACCGAGCTGTTTTTTGACACGGTATATTGATGTAAATGGGACAAATTGATAAAAGACCAAATGCGGTAGCTCGCTAGAAATCGGTGTCGTCAGTTAAAAGTCATCTTTAAAAAAGCCGTCCCTTTGTCGGACTAGCTGTAGCATGTTCAAAAATATTTTTGGTGCGGACCGACACTTTCGCTGGGTGGCTCATTTTTAAAACAACCGTGTCATTGTGTCATTCTCGCTCTGTGGGTATTTCTAAATAGTGTTTCCGAGCCCTCTGACTTCGTAACCGGAACAATTTGGGTCAGGTCCGTTTTTCCCTTTCTCTTTCCCCAGAACTCGGAGTCTTCGCGGGCACCAGACGGAGCCAGGCATATCTTGCCCATAATCATAGAGGAGCCAGAGCCTATTTCTAGTGACGAGGAGATGGTGAGTTTTGAGGGGGATTCCGGGGACGGGGAGGAGGATAGTGGGGATTTTGAGGAGGATAGTGGGGATTTTGAGGAGGATAGTGGGGATTTTGAGGAGGATGAGAAATTTTTTTCTAGCGACGATAGTGATTTTGGGGAGCGGGCTGAGGACGAGGTAGACTTGGACCAGATTTACAGAGTGTTGTTCGTGGATACGGACGACGAGGTGGAAGATGACAGCGGGTTGTTTGAGAGTTAATTATAGAACTCTTTACCGACAGGAGAAACAACGGAGCAGGTAGGTGGGGGAGTGGGGTGGGGAAGTCTGTTTGTTTTAGTTGATTGAGTTTATATGTGTGTAAAATTGATATTATTATTATCATTACTAGTATTTTTTATTTTTTTTAAAGTTATGTGTAAAAAAATCTTTTTAGGAGGCGAGTTTGACATCTCAGTAAAATTCTTAGTTTTTTAAAATTGTTTTTAAATTCTTTTAAAAATATATTATTTATATAATTTTTTATTTTTTTTGTTTGACATGTCTGTAAAATATATGATGATTATTATTATTGTTGCTGTTGTTGTTATTTTTATAACCTACTTTTTATAATTTTTAGTTTAAGGAATGAATGAATAAATTTTGTAATGCTTTGGCATGTCTGTAAAATTATCATTTTTTACAATAATAAGTTTTATTTCAGAAGACATTTTTCTAAATTTCCTTTTTTTTTTTTCCCCTCTGTGCATTGTTTTTTCTCTCTTCCCGAAGAGTTTCCTCGACGTGACCCTGAGCCTGGCTTCTAAGGGAACGACAAAGTATTCCAATATGGGAAATGAGACTAGTTGATGCATGTGTGTGTAGTTTGTGTCTTTGTTCTTATTTAGCTTGATAAGACGCCTCAGTTGATGCTTTTGACGTTAAAGAGCGGGCCAGTCTCCGTAGGATTTAATAGTCCCTTCAGCTTCCTGCTTCCGTATCTGTGGCCAGTCCAGTTTGTCCGTGTGTCTCATGCGTGGTCTGTTCCTAGCTTGAGACTGAGGCAGCAGTACCTTTGTGAGTGTGAGGGGGTTGGGGGTAAGGTGTGAAGTAAAAAAGTTGATGAAGTTTGAAGAGAAGCGAGGGGGAGGGGGGGTGTAGATCATTTTTTCGATAAGCTGCACTTTTGAGTAATCACTGTATTTTAAAGAATCCGTTTTGATGCAAGTGTAATAGGTAACAGCTTTTTGGGGGCATGAGCTGTTTCCATCTTTCAACCAGTTTGGGGAACTCTTTCTGAGGGGTGAGGGGTTAGTGGGGAACTGACCCCTGACCCCTCATTACGTAAGATGTCAGTTTCGGCTGTTGGGGGGGGGGGGGTTGGGGGAAGTGCAGGGGGTGATAAAATTATGTGGGGTGACAGGTGTCCGCGGGGAACTGGAACTGGCCCACGTCACCGGTTATGGGAAAATAGCAAGTTCTTTAACGGCGTCAGCAGGTATCGGGTACGGGACCAAATTGTAGGGAACGTTTTTGTTATCGCTTATTTGTTTTGTCTTCCACAGCTCACAGACTTCCCCTCCCCACTCCCCCCCTTGCGGAAGTCGGAAGTACCGGGCCTCACCGTGGCGCAAGGGTGTAACGCTCTGTTCAAACCAGAAGGGTGGCCGGGAAAACGATGGTTCGGGCAACGGCCCACTTTCTGGTTGGAACCGAGCGGCCAACACGGTACTACGCAGAGCATAGAAAATGTGAAATGTACTGCTTTGGCAATGTGTTGTAAACTATGAGAAACCGGCAGTATGGAAATAAAAGTTCAAATCGGTAGCAAAATGTGTTTGTTCTCTTTGTTTTCAAATCAGTCCTCCCGTTTGTCATGTACTCTATGTTTTAAAAATCAGTCTTCCCTGTCTGTCCTATCCTCTATGTTTTCAATTCAGTCTTTCCTGTCTGTCTTGTTTTTTTATGTTTTCCAATCAGTCTTCCCTGTCTGTTAAATCACTACAATCAGTTTGGATAATTAGCCGGGCCTGGGCGGTTACGGTGCACCTGTTGTGTAAATACAGACGATGGACACTTGGACACGAATTACATAATGTGCTGTTTTGCCTGTGACGGCGTTCCAGCTGACAGGCGGTCGTAGGCCCCCTACTCGATGAACAAAAAATACCCCTACCCACACAGGAATCGAACTCTGTCTTTTGCAAGCCACGGTAGGGTGAAACAAAAAGTTTTGAAAAAGATGGGGACAGAACATTTCCGGACGAGAGTTGGGTCAC